TTGTTCAAATGTATATTAAATAACACTTGCTTATAGTTGCATGTGATAGTCAATAAGAGAGAGTTATTTTGTTATTGAGATTATTATCTCTCCCTATGGATTACATTTTTATAGGTCAGAGTAGTGATCAAGGCAAAGAAAAATATTCAGAGCTGGCTAGTGTTGATAAAGTCGTGTGTCTCTAAGTTTTGTGTAATGAACTCAATCTAGTATGAATGTTGTAAATAAAAGTTGCCATAGGATTTGCATGCATGTTTTGAATGGTTATAAGTAGTGAATTGTTGAAGTTGTAGTGATTTTATGAATATTAACCTTTATGTGGAAATATGTGGAGAAATGAGTAACATGGACCAAGACTTTGTAGTGAATATGTTGTGAATGTAAAAAGATGTGAATATGTTGTGAACTCGTGATGAAAATGCCCAAACCAGTATGTTTATGTTAAGTTATGAGTAGTTTTCAAAAGTTGAGATGGGTTGTTGAATAGCCAAATATTGATTTGTGTGTATATGTGATATAAAATTGTGTTCAATAAGTGTATAAAGTCCCTTTGGACTCGGTTTAAGGCCTAAAATGGTCTAGTAAAACAATGTGATTAATTTAAGCATTTGGGTGCACAAATTTTTAGAAAAAGTAGCTTTTTACATCCCGAGTATCTAAATTTTGATCGGACCATTAGATCGTGTCTAAACTTCTCTCATTAGTTAGCCTATGAAATAAGCTTTGTGTGGACGCTTGAACCACTCCGATCAGATGTTGTGTGTGGAAACAACATATGTTGGAAGTTTACCTTGCGAACCGTCAAATGACAGCAACAAATACTGTCATGTGTGCTGCAACGCATGGCCTGTCACATGACATAAAAAAGAGCTGATTATGGCTTTGTGACGCATGCCGCAGCACATGTAGTGCACGCCACAGTGCATGGTTCATTTTTTGAATTTATTTCTTTGTTTTGAAAGCATACATGAACTCTAATAAATGCATAGGTTATCTTCCACTATGATATGCTCTATTTCGTATTGAGTTAGTTGAAAATTTTAATGATTTTCCACACAAGTCTTAAGCCAAAGATTTTCAAACAAAGTATTTAAATACAATTTGGTTAAAGGATGTGGTGAATGAGTTAACCCCTTCTAATATCAGGTGAATATTGAAAGACGTTACACAATATTCACAATCCTTGTTATATGCTAATTGTCATAGGTATTGCATAGAAAAACCAATGAACAGGTTATTGAATTAATTAAAAATCAATATTGATTGTTTAAATGAGTAGTGATAAGTACTTTTATTATCTTCCAATTAATATTGGCTAAATCATATGACTTGTACCTTAATGATACGTCAAAGTTATTTTGGATTCGATAAAGCACCATAGCCTTGATAAGAAAGAAAATAAGTTAAAGTTAGAAATTCAAAATGATAAAATATATGTATAAGTTAATTAAAATAAAAACTTACATATTAAATAATTCCAACATGTCAAGTCTATTATCTAGCTAACCCACTAATAGAATCTAAGTAGTAAAACTCTATAGTTTTAACAACTAGCATAATGTCAATTAGCATATAGTAGCTCCTAAAACAATTTGAAAGCATATGTCATGAAATTTAAAAAGAAAAGATAAATTAAATTAATTAGGATACTACTAAAATTTACCCTTACTCATAAGGTACTAGAATAACTTCCTTGCAGTAGGGTTTTTTGTCTCGAAGTAATTTGCTAATGTCTGAGCTTGGTCATGGCGCATCTCGATAGTGATGTTACAATGAGTAGACATGCATTATAAGGACAAACAAAGACAAACTGACACAAGATCACTGGGGACAATAAAAATTTCATAGACACCTAAATGAAAAAATAAACATATTATTATATTAAGTTTAAATATAGTAGAAGTTCATGTAAAGAATTTGTACCTTATATAAAAGTGGATCACTTTGTTAACCATTTTGACCCTAATCATATTGTATTGTTCTCTTCCATACAAAACCATTTTTCCCTGCCAATTCTTCAAGCTCATCTAGGATGGCAAAAGAATAGTTTACCTAGCATAATAGAATAAATACATTAGTATGTAAAAATTTTCCTGAGCAAAAAAGTGTGATTTGAAATTCAAGTCATACTTTTTCTAACTGCTCTTTTATCTTAGCAACAATCTTTAGAGTGAACTCATAGACGTGATTGTCAAAGAACACAACCAACGTCTTTCTTTCTAAAGTCATCAGATACAAAATAGTGTGCTTTAAGCCTTGTTGGATAGTTGATAACATATTGGTCAACAACACAGAATAAAATGTGATTCTAAAACGACAATAAGCAACCAAAATAAGGAAGCAATACTTGAATTCAGTTTGACTCATATTGTCGCGAATGTAGGGCAAACCATAACGCCTTTAGAGTTAGGCATGTGTTTGCTTCCACACTTGATGCAGCCCACATATGTCCAGCATAGACCAATTTCCAATTTTTCTATTACACATTCAATGATGAATAGCTCACCCTGGCAACAATCATAGATGAAACGTAAGCTCACTTTCAAATTCTATAATGGAGAATTCACGAGTTCTTTCAGCTCACCACTTCCTTTTTTGGGACATTAGTAATCATTATCTTCTTGGTAGACCTCAACATCGACTCCACATAAACTTAAGTAGTCTGAAATAGCACAACTTTGCTCAAGAAAGGATTGTTTGGAAAGGAGTTTTCCATGGCACTGCAAAACGAAAAAACAAGGTGAGATGATGGTGAGTGCAACAGATCTGATTAATGATAACATTTAGACAAACCTGATTCAGGCAAACATTTGTTGCATTGGAAGATGAAGTAACCCAAACCTCCTCTGCACAATAAAGTTAGTTACTGTCCTCAAGATATAAAATCTTATTAAAAAGCCAAGTAACAGTTAGTCTTAGGAAAACAAATTTGTAATAGAATAGTCCTTAAGATATCCTTATTGTTGTCTATACTAAGTCGGCAAAGTTGAATAGCAAACACTTAAGGGAACTTGGTATTGTACGTCAAGGTAGCTATAATAGGTACTTGAAGCAAAATCTCCAAGAAGCGCGCAATCAATACTCTTGTTCCTGAGGAAAAATACGTTAGCAACAGCTTTTCATGTTCTCAAGAATATCACAAGCAAAAAAAAGCAAGATAAATTTTCTACTATTCATTTGCTAGTGTGAAAATGAGTTTGTTCTGAAATCCATTTTTAGTCTTGTACCTCTAGCATCCCTGTAGACCTCAACACCTTAATAATATCTATGAAAAGACACAGAAGAAGTCACATGCATCTACTGTCATTTAAGAAAAGAAAAATTGTTATATAAATGGTTTATCATATTGATCAATCAAACTTCTGCTCAAAGATAACATTGATAGGCATAAAACTAAAAGAGTTTCATGGTATGTCTGCTTTTTGTTCGCCTAAAAACTTTCCTATATTAAACTTGATCTTATAATAAGGGTGATTAGTTTCGTTTATTTTTCTCCAAACATTAATATAAGTCATTAATAATTAATTTACATTTAAAAAACAGTTAAAATTTTGATTTTTCTAAAAATATCCACAACTTTCAAATCATGTCCTTAAGTCAAATAAATATAACATTTGACTTATTCAAAACACTCATTAATTACGTAATTGAAATCTAATAAATTAAATGTACAATCAAAATTAATATATATAATCTATCAAATACCCTATATTTTGTACTAAGCAGGACTTTTATAAAGCATCTTATATTGTGGTCCAAGGGAAGTACATGATTACAGAAGCTTTTGCCAAAAATAAATATGCAGAGGCAGAACTGAAAGACGAGCAATCATGGAAGATGAGCGGGGGAAAAAAACTGAGCATATTGTAGAATGTGACAAACAATCAGCCAAAATTGTTGATTTCAGAACCAACAATGATAAACAAGGCAAAAGTCAACATGATAAAGAGAATATATCTGATGTTATTGTAGCACTAACAGTGTGATTATTATTGGCAATCATAGGCCAATTAATGGCACAGGTTATGCAATTCTATACAAATAATAAAGTATGATTTATTTCTCCTGAGAAGAAATCAACTATATGGGAAATGAAAATATGATCAAAGTTGCCAAAGTGTAAGTACATTAAGCTTGTTCTTTCTGCCCTTTTGTTCTTTATAATTTCACATCATCATCATTTAAAAATAAAATATTTGAAGAGTTAGGTAAGCTAACTTGATAAATTATGTTAAAAAAAACAAAAGAAAGAATAATGAAAAAATAATAAAAATGATTTTTTTTGTAAGGATTATATTGGTTTTATGACTGCACTTCTTGACAATTTATTTATATTCCAAATATTAATTGAAAAGGGTATGTGCAAAAAAAAAAATGAGAAGGGTACGAAGAATTAGAAAGATATGGTCACATAAATATATTTGCCATTCCACATTCCAAATGATTTACAGTTGGCGAGTTAGTCATTTTTTAGAGATCATTTGTATCAATATTATTGTAGAAATTTTGATGTTGAAAACCTCTATATGTCACAAGTTAGTTTCGTGTTGCACTGCACAAAATAGTAATTTGAACAAGAACCGACACTTCACGTTTAAGCTCAATTTTCAAATGTAAATAGGATCATCAAAGTCAGAATTATTCTAGAAGGTAATTATGAAGGCCTTATAAAAAAATATTAAATTGCTAAACGTATTATATAATAAATTTAACAACACAAGTGACGTGGACTGCCATCCAATTATCTCGAGACGATGGCAACTTTTTAATTTCATATTCATTTTAAAAATTTACTTTCATAGTATTCTTTCTTTAATTTGGTTGACTTTCAATCCTTTGATCACTTATTCAAATATAATTGATTACGACAATATAAGCCATATTCTTGACCGAATCATTAAAGAATCAAACTAATAATACTCTGTTAACTAATTTCTGATGCCATTGTTGTCATATAATTAATGAGACCTTCAATGCTTAGTGGCAGACATGAAACACAGACTGACCTGAGAATACTCAAGAAAGGCAAAACATCTTTGTCTCTCTGCTCACTCTACAGATTTCTCATCCAGTCGTTAGAACAAGTATCAATATATTCTCCTCCTCTACAGATTTCTCATCCAGTCGTTAGAACAAGTATGAATATATTCTCCTCTTCCAACATAGTTTTTTTTGGTTCATTTTCTTTACTTTCCTTTTGCATGAACTAGCAAGATAGATAATGTTTTGGTAGGATGTTTAAATCTAGGTAAACCTGAGTCAATGCATGAGAAGTCATATATCGGATAAAATTAGCTTAATAACTAATATAATAAAGTGAAAGAATCTACAAACTCGAGTTTTGAATTGAAATGTGCCATTCTTTTGCTCCTCATCTCCCATTTGTTTACTCTGCAATTGCTCCCATTTCTATCTTGTGATGTTAGAGTTTGGTTTTACCCGAGATCTAGCCATTTGCTGATTTAGCCTTCTTTAGCTTATATATGCATGGTTCCTTATCTTTCATTTTTTATGGAATGGAATTTCAATTCTGATCGATTTCAAAATCAAATTTGATAGATGGAAGATGATGTGATCATTGAGATTAAAGCAATGATCAAGCTTAGTGAAGATGGTCTCTTATCTCCTACTTGTTGTATCTACAAGGTGCCCCATATGATTCGTAATCTAAAACCAAACGCTTACACTCCAAGAGTTGTTTCAATTGGCCCTATTCACTATGGCAACAAGAGATTGCATGACATGGAAAGACACAAACAAATATTCTTCAAAAGATTTACTCAAGAAGCTATGACAAGCTTGGATGATTTGGTCAGCTTTGTGAAACATTTAGAGCCAAAGGTTCGTGCTTCATACTCAGAAAACATCGATCTTAGTGAGAAGGAACTCGTGAAATTAACATTAGTAGATGCTGGTTTCATCATTAAACTCTTCATGAGTAGCTCTAAGGATCAGTTAAGGTATGATTCTAAACTATCCAAACCATATTTGGAGGATACTACAGTTAAGGATTTGCTTTTACTAGAGAATCAACTTCCTTTTTTTGTTCTTGAAGGCCTATTTAATAGAGCATTTCCTCTTCACCTTTGTGGCAAAATTCCTTCATTTCTTCACCTCACATATAATTACTTTAACCATTTCAACATACAAAAACTAAAGCCCAATTTTGATGTTAAGATAAATCATTTCACTGATCTTATTAGATTCTTTCACTCACCCAAAACTTCACCGCTAAGGCATTCATCCCTGTGGGCTAAAGATCATGTTCTTCTATATAGTGCAAGTGAGTTACAGGAAGAAGGAGTAAAGTTGAAAGCAAATACGAGCAAGTGCTTGCTAGAATTGAAGTTTTCTGGGTGTGTTCTTGAGATCCCACAAATTTTAGTTGAAAATGACACTGAAATATTGTTTCGTAATATGATAGCATTAGAGCAGTGTCATTATCCTTATAACTCTTATATCACTGACTATGCAATTTTATTGGGTCGCTTAATAAATACAAGAGAAGATGTGGATGTCCTTATTCATGGAAAAATAATAATCAGCAACTCTCTGGGTGATACGCATGATGTTGCCAAAGTATTTAAAGGTCTTGGGAAAAATATCATCCAAAATACTGTCAATTCAGATTATGTTTACATTTATGAAAGGTTGAATGATTTCTATCAAGATCGTTGGCACAAGATGAAGGCCACTTTGAGAAGTGATTATTGCAAGACACCTTGGCAAACTGTGGCCTCTTTTGCTGGAATTATACTCCTTATTCTCGCCCTTATTCAAACCATATTTTCTGTCCTCCAAGTTGTACTATTGAACAAGTAAATTTAGAGTTTGTATTATGTTGTTGTTTTAGCATTATGTATATTTGTTGTATTCTGTGTATATGATCAAACTCCAAATTAGTGAAAAACTTTGTTTCTATCCCTTTCTGGACTCTTAAATTCACTTCATCTTCTTAGTGGAAAAACCTATTCCTTCTTTACAAGAACTGTTTATATAAGAAAAATTACAAATCAGAAAGAAGATAATTATGTTTGGATCTATTTAATATTTCTAATTGCTTTACATAAGAGATTCAGAGAGGCATTAATCTTTAATCTCACAATATTTTTAACAATATCATATAGAAAACCAAAGACAAAGGAAATGAATTGCTCAAGAATCAGATAGTGGAGGCTGGCTCCTTCATTGATATAAATAATACAAAGTATCTAATCCAATAATGACACATATATAGGGACTATACAGAGCATATTTGTACAGTACAAAGGATAGATTTGATCCTATCCAAATCTTAACTAATTACATAATTAACAAATAGTCCTATTCTCTAACTCTCTCTTTCAAATGAGACGGGGTATCAGCTAAAACAAGTTTACTTCTATAAGCAGTAAATTAAGGTGGTGCAAGAGCTTTGGTTAAACAGTCTACTACTTGACTATGTGAGGGTATGTATCTAATCTCAAGAGTGTTTGCAAGAACTTGATCTCTGACAAAATGCAAATCTATTTCAATGTGTTTAGATCTAGCATGTTGAATAGGATTTGTAGCTAAAGTTTTTGCACTAAGATTGTCACACAATATTATGGGAGGTCGTCTTGGAGGACAGCCAAGCTCATATAACAATGAACACAGCCAATTTACCTCAATTACGATATCTACTAGGGCTCGATACTCAGATTCAATACTAGATTAAGATACAACTCTTTATTTTCTAGATGCCCAAGTGACTAAAGAATCACGTAAATAGACACAAAACCTTAACATTGATTTTCTATCAGCCATATTAGTAACCCAATCAACATTGGTAAAGGAATTCAATTCAAGAAAACCAAAAGGTCTGAGATGAAGACCAAGAATAGATGTGCCTTTGAGATACCTCTAAATTCTTTTAACACCCTAAAAATGAACATCAGTGGATTGAGACATAAATTGACTTAATTTATTAATGGAAAAGGCAATATTTAGTCTATGTGTTGTGAGACATTGTAAGGCACCCACAACTTGATGATAGGCAATAGAATCATTTAGAAGAGTGCCATCAATAATAGAAAATTGCCTACCAGTGACCGTGGGTGTAGCAATAGGAGCTGAATCAAGCATATCAAAATGCTTTAAGATATCAAGAATATGCTTAGCTTAACCTAAATAAAATCCAAAATTGGTCCTAAATATCTCAATACCTAAAAAAATAATGAATAGAGCTAAGATCCTTGAGAGAGAAAGGGCTATTCAATTTTTGTACAAAAGATTTGAGATAATGGGAGCTATTTATCCACATATATATATGAGAATTAATGAAAATAGTCAATCCAATAATTCTAAGCATGAAAAGAGACAAATCACTTTTGCGAATTTTGAAAACTCCACCACAAAAGAGTTATCTTAAGCGTTTATACCCAGCATGAGGGTCTTGGTTTAAACCATACATGGCTTTATTTAGTTTGCAAACATAATTTAGCTTGGCCGAGTCAATGAACCCTTCAGGCTGACACATAAAAACTTCCTCTTGGAGAAAACCATTGAGGAAAGTATTTTTGATGTCTAATTGATGAACCTCCCATAAAAAAATCACAACAATAGGAAGGATGATTCTCACAGTTATTGTCTTCATCATCAAACTAAAGTTCTCGCCGTAATCAAAGCCAGGTGTTTACTGGAACCTTTTTACAATTAATCTCGCTTTATGCTTGAGAAGTGAGCTATCAACTTTGTATTTGGTCTTAAAAACCCACTTATAGTCAATAATCTTCTAAGATGCATGAGAAGGAACAAGACGCCATGTTTGATTTTGAGTGAGAGCTTTGAATTCTTCAGTCGTCACCTTTTGCTAGTGTGAAACCCCTAATGCCTCTTAGACAGAAGTTGGTTCACTTGTGTTTGTAGGAGAAGTTGGATCTTCAGATGATAAAAGGCCAACAAAGGGGTATTTGGGCTTAAAAATAACCCTTTGGGCTTGAGTTATCATTTAATGTCCTTGTATGGATTCTAGTGTAGGGCCTAAAGGAGGAGATAAGGATGAGTCTAAAATAGGAGATGTGGGCGAGTCTATCACTATAAAAGGCCGTGGAGTTGTATTTGGATTGATATTAGGATCCACAAATGTGAACGGAGTGGTTATGCGAGGAGAGGGGACCACAGAATCAAATAGTATAGTACGTAGTGACTCATCCTCATTATCTAAAAAGGCAAGAGGTAGGTGAGTATGTAGACACATATCCTGAATCAAGACAGGGACACCACTAGTCTTTATTATAGAACCACCATGATGATGATATATAAAGCCTGTAGCAAAAGGAAAAATAGAGGAGTCAAATACAATGTGTCATGAGATGTATATATAACTACTAGACCCCAAACATTTGTATCCTTTTTTGTTGAGAGGCATAACCAAGGAAAACACATTTTTGACTGTGAAATTGAAACTTATGAGTATTATAGGGCTTTAAGAAGGAGTAACAAGCACATCCAAAGGGTTGAAGTTCTTTATAATCAGGTTCTGTCTTATAAAGCTTGAATAAGGGTGTTTGATTCTGTGAAAAAGGGTGGGCCTTCTTTTCATTAGAAACATGGCTGTTTGAAAAGCTTCTACCCAATAAGTTAATGGCATGTGAGCTTAAGCCAATAATGTGAGACTAGTCTCAACTATGTGATGATGTTTCCTTTCTGCTTATCCATTTTGCTGAGATGTATAGGGACAAGTATACCTTTAATTAACCCCATACCCTTAAGTTAAAAGGACAAATGGATTAAATTTAATGCCCATATCACAATGAATATTTTTAATTGTGCATCCAAAATGATTTTCAACTAATGCCTTAAAATGTATAAATTCTTGAATAGCTTCTCCTTTATGCCTTAGTGGATATAACCAAGTCTATCTATTGAAATCATCCACAAAATGAATATAAAACCAATGCCCATGAATTAATTGTACTAAAGATGGTCCCTATAGATCAATATGAATTAAATCAAGAGGAGAAGTAACATGTGAATCAGATTGAATAAAAGGAAGTTGTTTAGCTTTTCCCATTTGACAAGCTTCACAAACATTTTTATCATTAATTGCAATTTTCAAATTACAGTTATTGGAAATTTATTTCAAAATCCTATTACAAAGATGTCCTAATTTATGATCCCATTCGAGAAAATTTTCCAAACATGCTTTAGCTTTAGAAATAGCAAAATTAGCTTCAGCTTGTGAAATAAAACGATGAGATGCTTTAGGTAGATGAAGAGGCATTGGGTACATTCCCTGATGTGGTCTTCCTTGCATTATCACTTGAATTGTTAGCTCATCCTTCACAATACACCCAGAATCAGTGAACAAGATATCAATGAAGCTATCTTCAATAAGCTTATGTACACTAGTCAAATTCTTTTTGGTAGTAGAAACAATAAGGACATTATTAAGGTGCAAATCAATAGAAGCACAAGGAAGAGTACACTTGCCAATACCATGAATGGGTGATTTCTCACCAAATAAATGAGCCCTACCAATTGGATGAGACTTGTCCAAATTTTCAATTAAGGAAGTGACGTGATAATTGGCACCACTGTCTATATACCAAGCTAAATCATTCACAGTGTGAGGAGAAGCATAATATGCTTAAGGTGAACTATAATCAGTAGCTAGAGAGGACTTGTCATGGCAATGGTAGCACTATACAAACAAATGACCAGGACATTGGTGTAGAAAGCAAAAACGACTATGACCCTTCAAGGAATGACCTCAACCATGGTTCCTATGAAAGCCAGGATTACCACTCTTTGCACTACTGTTAGAGTCAGACCGTGCATCTCCTTGAGTCATGTTGATTGAAAGGTTGAATGGTCAAGCTGGAAAAAGCATTCAACTGCTTAAGATGGCTCTCAAAAGCCATCAAAGATGCCTAAAGATCAATACGAGTAAGGTTAAGAGCATCAATAATTTTAACAACAATTGCATTACCCTACAAAAAAAAATATCATCGCTAATCAATACAAATTCTGCTGCTAAATGAGTTAGTGATGGAATTAATAATGGAATTCCGTCACTAAGTAGTAATGAAATTAGCAACAAAAAATTTCCATCACTAAACAGGAATAAGTTATTCCAATTATGTGATGGAATGCATTCTGTTGCTAACTCATTACAAATAAAAGTTCCATAAAAAATCACTATTGCCATGGCATCCATTGGGCCAATGTCACCTCATCACCATGTCACTATTATCTCATCACCACCTCCCTACAATATCGCCTCAACATCACCACATCCCTACCATGTCACCTCTACATCCTATATTAACTTCAAATAACTATGAGACATATTAACTTCAAATAACTATGACATATATTAATTTCAAATGTGCCTTAGCCAAGTTCGAACCCACAACCTCACACTTTCTTGAGCCTTTATGTCCAATTTTATTACTAGTTGAGCTGAAGGAGATCTTTAGTTTTAAATTAATAAATTAAATATATAATATTTAACCATCCCAGCCACCCACCCACCCACACACATTAATAAATATACAACCTAAATGTATTTATTTAAAATTATTTTTATTTGTCAACAAAATATATTAATTTTTTATGTAATACTTATTATATTATATTATATTTTCAAAAAATTATTTTTGATAGAAAATTTAATGTTAAAATGAACAAATATTTATTATCACTATATATTATATTATAATTTTTATAATATATAATATTTTATATTTTAAAAATATTTTTACTTTTAAATAACAATAATTAGGTATGTTAATATGTTATCAAAAAAATAATTAAATATATAATTTAAATTATCATAATTATTTTTAATATCTAAACAATTTAAAATAATAAATTATAATGATTAAATTATTTACTTATAGCATAATAATAAATTATTAAATAAATAATATATAAACATATGTTATAAATCATAT